TGAGCAGAAGGGCACGCCGCACCTCTTTAGCAGAAACGCCCCCTCTCGAAAAAGCCACTACTGTGCGACTAAATTACAAACGAGCGCAAATGAATGGCAGCGGGCGTCAAATTTTGGCCAAATCATGCAGGAAATCTGGCGGGCGATGACTATCTACAGTTATAGCTGGCACTCGCCTACTAGTGTCGCGGATGTACTAGTTACTACGATGTCCTTGCTCTTCCCACGCGACGAGTAGTAGCTATTACAACTGCCGCCAGCTATTCAGCTTTATCAAAGTCACCCACGTGCAGCGCAGATGCAGAAAATGCCGCGTATAACATCTCGAGAGTTTGAGTTGCAGAAGAGTCTATACCCAGAAATATGCCGAATGCAAATGACGATGATAATTATGATGATAATGATGATGATGATGGCATCGAGTTTGCCTGTGTACTTCCCAGCCTTTTTAAGTACGCAAAGACATCATCTATTGAAAAATAACACCTGTACAGCAAAGCGCCCGAGTTCACCTCTCGATCAGAGGACGATCGTGAGCGTTGTTCCTAAAAAGGAGCGCTCACCATCATTATAGCAGCCCAGGTAGCCCTTCTGAACTGCTGCCAGGATCCATCAAGAATGACTGGAGCGCTTGGACTTGAAAAGATAATCTAGAATGGCTGATACTTCTAGCAAAAAAATGGAAACGCTGCTTCTGGTCAAGGCCAATATATTCCGGCGCCATCTTCTACATCAATGCGGCACTATTTACAGGGAGACGCTTTTTTTTTCACTGTGTAATAAAAATTAAAATAAAAATGCTTCTCCACCAATAGAGCCACTTCTAGAAATAGTTAGACAACATATGGAAAATGAAAAGTATGGCCTCACCATGATGATTGTACAAGGAAGAGCCACACTTTAGAAATATCGACAAGGTACTTGCTTCGCAGAAACCCTTCAGAAGTTTTCTGCTGTTGACTAGGGAAAGTCATGAGTTTTCTATCTTTTCTTGAAGATTTTTCAAATGAAAACTCGCGCAAGTGCTAGTATTTACATCACATTATAACCCGAAGAATATTCTTTACATCGTTTCGGTCGAAGTCTTTGAAAAAGTGGACTCCTGCAGGCCTTTCATGACTGCAGGCAGCTTCTCATCTTCTTTTTGCCCTATAGTAGTTGTAGCCGTAGTAAGCACCCACATGAATAAGGATTTTTGAAGCGTTTTCTAGTCGTGTTAAGGTCCTAAAAAAAAGCACAAAAATCCACAGCAACAATCTAGAAAGAGGGCGAGCATCCAGCAAAAAAGGAGGCCAAGAAGGACACAGAAACGAGGGAAGGTCGGGCAGATTCCACCGAGAACCGAAGCCATTGAATCGAGAACCGAGTCCATCCATGGAAAGCTCTCATAGAGTGCAGCCCTATACTTCTGCGCTCTGAATCGAGAACCGAGTCCATCCATGGAGAGCTCTCATAGAGTGCAGCCCTATAATTCTGCGCTCTGAATCGAGAACCGAGTCCATACATGGAGAGCTCTCATAGAGTGCAGCCATATACTTCTGCGCTCTGAATCGAGAACCGAGTCCATCCATGGAGAGCTCTCATAGAGTACAGCCCTATACTTCTGCGCTCTGAATCGAGAACCGAGTCCATCCATGGAGAGCTCTCATAGAGTGCAGCCCTATACTTCTGCGCTCTGAATCGAGAACCGAGCCCAGCCATGCAGGTGTATAATAGAGGGCGCCCCTTTATCTGTGCGCTCTGA